TCTAATGCTCAACTGGGGATAAAATGGATTAAAATAAACCAACCTCAATGGATGTGAAAGGGCCTTAGAGTTGCTCCTTTGCCACGTGGAGTCGTGGTCTAGTCCCACTGCCAGGCTGCTGCAGGGAGGGGCCACTTGTCCAAGAGAACCCTTGCTGGGGATAGGGGTGAAGGGAGATGTCACATCTCAGCTGGTTCCCAGGTTCCAGGAGGAAGCAAGGATTCTACCCCATCCAGCCCAGCATTGGTCTGGGGGTGGGGTAAGAAGAAGGGTCCCCGGAAGAAGTGACGCTGGCACTGGGGCCCCATAGGGCTCAGAGGGAGCGGGTGAGGTGAGTGGATGTGAAGCAACCAGTTCCTTTTACAAGCAAAGCTTCTAGTTGCAGCTGCATGTAGGGGAAAGTGCCAGGGGGAGGAAAGGGGCCCTGTGAACAGAGCACCCTTCAGTGGGGGAGATAAAAATAGAATAGAGCTCTCCTCACCCCCACCCCTGATGAGGAATGTACATGAAACGCCACCCTCAAAGCAACTACACAAATGCCCAAATGACTTGATGAAATGAGATACCCTGTGTAGCAGGTGCACAATGAATCTGCATCCCTTACACACCCCCTTACACATGTATATGCACATACACAACTGCTTTCAGCTTCCCCACCAGACTTTCTGCAAATGCCAAGTGCCCACTGTGTGCTGGGCACTGCGCAAGTTTCAAGGGACCAGGCACAAGAGCTGGCCTCGGCCTCTGGGAACCCCAAGGCTGCTTGTTAAGACCACCCTGAGCCCAGGAGGATGAGATGGCTGGATGGCATCACCGACTCAATGGACACGAGTTTGAGTAAACCCCGGGAGTTGGTGATGGACAGGGAGGCCTGGTGTGCTGCGGTTCATGGCATCGCAAAGAGTCGGACACAACTGAGCGACTGAACTGAACTGAGCCCGGGAGAGAATTTGGGTCCTGACGGGGGCCCTGGAGACACGCTCCAGACCCAGGGGTGCTGGTGGATGGGCCTTCAGGCTGAAGGAAGAACAGACACACCACGAGGGGGAGGGAGCTTCAAGGTGGCGGTGGAGAGCAGGTTAGGAGGAGGGAGGGTCCTGGGCAGTGTTTTCTTGTTACACATCTACTTGATCTATTCCTTTGATACCTCCTGGAGAGGCGTACCTGGGCTGCCCACCCTGCAGGTATCCCCATAACTGGCACTCGGTAACCCCAGCATGGGGCCCCTGTCATGGACTGGGGGGGTGGGGCAGTGCAGCCCTTGCCCCTGGTGACAGCACAGGTGGGCTGGAAGAGTCCATAAGACAGTCCTGCCTTCTGGGTGCCAGGGGAACATTCTAACCCATCAGAGTCCTCATGCGCTGAAGATTCTCCCAGAGGTGGCTCCCAGGACTAACTCCAGACAGGGCCTGGGGTGCCACCCATCACTTCTTTCCTCCTGTTCTCTGGTCACCCTTCTCTTCCAGCTTTTGGGGGCAGGGAGCCAGTCCCCCCAACTCCAGAGTTCTCTGCAGGATGGCGCTGGGGGGTCAGATGGGAGTGGACAAGAGGAGGATGATAAGAACCCTCCTCAGTGGTCCGCCCCTTGCAGAGGCCACCCCCTCACACTGCCCAGAAGAATCAACTCCTCCGTGATGATGGAAGCTTCTGTCTCCTCCTCTAGTCACATATTTGCATGAAGAATTGGGAGCCTGGAGAGAGGGGAGGGACAGCTCTGAAAGTTGAGCCCTGGAGGTTGGGGCCAATCTGAAATTTGCCTCAGAGAATAACGGCCATGCATTAGCCCGACACCACATGCCCGACACTGTGCCGAGCCCTTTGCATACAGTATCTAATCCTCACCACAGCTTATGAGGTAGGCATTCTAGACCCACTTGACAGATGAGAAAACTGAGGTACAGCAAGTTTAATTTAGTTGCCCAGAGTCACTCAACCACCTCAGGGGAGTGGCCTCTGGTTCTACTGGCACTGTCCTTTCTGACTGAGGGCCCCTTGGCAAGCTCCCAGGGCCTGTGTAGATTGCGGGTGAATGACTGAGGCTGAACTGGGATCTGCCACCCCAGGAACTGTGTGTGGAAGGCTGATTTGGGGAACGTGGCAGCTGTCACAGATGGGCTGGGGCTATGGGTGCCCCCGCCAGCAGGGCTCAATGGAAGGGGTTTGCACAGGCCGTCTCACTCCCGTGGTCACCAGGACTAACCTGAAGTTAGTGGGGGTCCCCAAGCCTGAGCTTCCAGCGTGGGTGAAAGCTACTTCCCAGTTGATGCACTTGGAAAAGCCCCTGCCTCTACCATGGCCACAGAGTGCTGCGTAATTTCCTCTCTGGGTCAGTCTGCCACCAAGAGCTATGACAGGGCCATGAGTCAGGCTCAGCTTGTCACTGACAAGCCACCAGCTGCCTGGCTTCCAGCCGACTCGGTGGATATAAGTGGATGCCCTGCCTTCCCCCACCTCTGCCCCATCCTGCAAGGATGGTCAGACAGACATCCACTGGGGTCACACCAGACCCAGGGCATGTCAGGAGCTGGAAGCAGTTCTGGGCTGTGGCTGGCATGACTGTGACTGAGGCAGACCATCACCACATCAGCCATGAGCTTCCAGGGTCAGGAATCGAGGTGCTCCCAGCCAGCTGTTTGAACTGATTGCCCCACTCAACTCCCTCATAAGAACATTCTTCACCTTCCCCTCAAGTTCAGAAGTCCCACAGAGGAATTCGGGCTTCCCAGGTGGCACTAGTGGTAAAGAACCTGTCTGCCAATGCAGGAGACAAGAGATGTGGGTTCGATCCCTGGGTCAGGAAAATCCCCTGGAGGAGGGCATGGCCACCCACTCCAATATTCTTGCCTGGAGAATTCCATGGACAGAGGAGCCTGGTGGGCTACAGTCCATAGGGTCGCAAAGAGTCAGACATGACTGAGCGACTTGACACACACAGAGGCATTTACTCCTCTCAGAAAAAGGCACTTAACCTAGGTAGGTTAAAAAAAATTAGTGGTTACTTCAGCTGCCTTCAAGGAATTCACCATGTACAGAGAAGGCCTTGAAACTCAACAATTGGCTTTTAGAAAACCAGAAGGCTAATCTTTGGATCCCTTATTCTGTGTTGACAGTGGGTCCCCCTTTGGGATGGGCAGGCACAGGCTGGGGTGCCAGTCATCCTTCTGGGCAATTTGACGCCACGTGCTCTGTGTCACCAAGACTGTGATTCAGCCGCACACTTGCCAAGGCTCGTTCGTATTCACAGAGGGGCGAAACTGCTCTGTAGGCACTTCTCAAAGCAAGGGCTCTCCACCTCCTGGAGGAAAAGCCAGGATACACCAGAGATGGGCCTTTCCAGCCGCCCAGGGGAGGGGCTGTCAGAGCCAAGACCGGGCAGCGTTCAGCTCTGTGTCTGTTAGATGACTAAAGGAATAACAGAAAAACCATGAAGCAAAGCTGATGTAAACCCTAAAGCCCATACTTTACCGTGTAGGTGCTCCCTGCTCTCTTGCTTCTGAGCACAAAGGAGTGAGGCTAGGGGGTTCCTCATGAGGAAGCCTGGACCTCCACAGAGGTCGGCCGGGGACAAAGAGGCCCGGGCACCCCAGGGGCTTGCCCTCCCTCAGCCTCTCTGCACAAGGTAAGGGGTGGCCTGGCACCACCCTTTGAGGGAATGAGATCACTCTGTATCTGGGCTATTGCTGGAATTATCAAATTTGTGTTGGCTGAGACCCTCAAAAGATTTTGGGGTTTTTTTTGTTTGTTTGTTTTTCTTTTCACTGTGCTCCGTACAAAGAACAAAAGCCAGCTTGCTGACAGGTGCGGAGGGTCCAGGTAGATGAGCACAGTCCAGCTGCCCCGACGAGCGGGCAGGCAGCTCCCCACTCTGCGGGCTCCACAGCGCCATGGCATCTTCCCCACCTTCAGCTGGGTCTGTGGGTTGGACAGCAGCTGCCAACACAGTTCTCTGCCCCTGCAGAGAGAGGGCCCAGGCATCATGGCTTGGGATGGCTTTTTTTTTTTTCTCTTTCCTTTTCCTTTCCCTTTTCTCTTTTTGCCTTCTCTTTACTTAATCTATGTGTCAACCTGGCTGGTGGAGACCAGAAGCCAGAGAGGGTGTGGCCCTGAACAGAGGCATCCTGTGGGGGTGAGGGCTCAGCAGGGAGGCCTGGGTGAGGAGTGGCTCCCAGACCGGCCCACAAGGCAGGCAGACCCTTCTTGTCTCCCTGACACTCGGTTCCCCAGGATCCAGCTAGGAGATACCTATAGGGAGATACCTATGGGAGGGAACAGAGGCAGGGGGAGACACCAACATCAACGGTGTATGAGACTGATTACATTCATGGCTAAAACACCAGAGTCTGTTGGATCAGAAATACAGAAGGTGTTGGAGCCCAGCTGGATAATTCAAGTTTGCTCCTGTGCTGGGGGTCAGGGTGTCCCCATGGTGGGATTTTTTACTTGCTGGGACCTTCCACAGAAGTGTGTTTTGACCATTCTCTGAACCATAAACAAAAACTCTCATGGTAAACAGCTTTCAAAGACAGTTATCTCTAAAAGGAAATTGGGACTTTATTTTCCCACAAGAAGTTCAAGGAATTGTGATTACTCAGAACTCCCTCTCGACATTCTTGTGAACATTTGAGAAATTCCCAGCGCCTCCTGTTGCCCCAAAAGCGGGAAGCCAGGGATGCACCGACTCACACACAGCCACGCAAGTGCTTTTGGGCTCATAGCAACTGCATAAACCATTGCATAACTGCAACTGTGTGTTTACTTTGATAATGAGAGGAAATGCAAATAAAGAAGTAATGACTTTGGGTAAAATTATGCCTAGAAAATGACTTTCTATTCTCTATCTCTCTTGTCCCCTTAAAAGTCCTCCTCTCAGATCTCTTCTCCAGGAACTTAGCTCCCAGAGCGGTTTTCCAGGATTGCTAAGGGACATGTGACAATCTCTGTCATTAACTCCATGAGCCCTCTGCTTTGGGGCTCAAAGTTTCCCTCAGGCCCAGAGATGGATGCAGGGACTCTCCAGGCTAGAAGAGCCTCTGGCCAGCAGCCAACTTCCAATGCAAAGTGCAACTCCAGTCACGAAAAAGACCTGGGAAGTCTTGCCAAGTGCTCAAGACTCTGCCAGAAAAGAAGAAAGGGCCTGCATAAGCCTGCCCCCATCTCCTCATGGAGAGAGCCAGCTCAACTTGTTCACCTACAACCATGGAGGGTGAGCACGTGGGAGCTGGATGTGTCCGGGGGAGTCTGATAAGGGGGCTGCCAAAAGCCTAAAGAGGGTATCTGCTCACATGTCGGCTGCAGCAAGCAGGAGGGAACAGCCCCTGGACAGCAGAGAATTCCAAAAAATAAGGCTTTCCAGGATTTTCTGCCTAGGTGAGCATTGTAGGCAGGTAGGCATATGCCTCAATTTCTTAAAAATGGTATGTTTTTAAAAAGAAGTATAGATGGAAGGAAGGAAAGAAGGGAGAGGAGGGGAATGAGGAAGGAGTGAAAAGAAGGAAGGGGGGAGGGATGGAAGAAGGAAAGAAAAGGAGAGATAAAAATTCTAGATCTGTGCAGCTTGATATGGTAGCTTCTGCTCACATGTGACTGTCGAGCACTTGACATATGGCTGATCCACACTGAGATATGCTGTAAGCTGGATTCCAAAGACTTAGTATGAAAAAAGAATGTTAAAAATTTTTTTTGATCAAGTACATACTGAAATGATATTTTGGAGACTTTGGATTAAGCAAAACTATTTTAATAATATATTATTAAAATTAATGTCACTAATTTTCCACTCTTTTTACTGTGCCTCCTAGAACCTTTACATCCTTGGCCTGCACTCCGCGTGTACTTGCTTGGGGGCGGGAACCATCCGGCGCGCCGCGCAGCAGTGGAAAGAAGGCGGGGCCGCAGTCCCACCGCTAGTTCCCACCAAACTGTTCAGGTCTTTAGACACGCCCCTTTCCCCGGACCGAGAGTAACTGGCCCGGGCTTGCGGTGCCTTGATTCCTGCATTCTCCACATGAGATCCGAGCATCTCCCTGGAAAATCCTTTCTGTTTTAAGCCGCTAGTTTCTGACTTGCTTGACCTTTTAAAATCCTCAGCTTCATCTGAGGGCGCGCAGGGGCTTTCTTGCACTCTTGTTTGAGAAAGCCGGTAGGTGGCTGTGTGATAGTAACGGAAACTTTGAATAGGATGTGTGAGTCGTGGGAGGGTTTGGTTAGGCCTCAGTGGGGCTGAGGCACTGGCAGACACTGTTCAAGTTTGAATCCAGGTTCAGCAGTAAATATTTAGGAGAGTTTTTAAAGTGGTACTGGAAAACATCATAGCAACATTAAGGAAACATTTCTTCCAAAATTACCAGTTGAGTGCTCTGTCTATGCCTGAGAGTTCATTGGGTGAGGAATACAGCAGGCTGTGTTGGACCCTGGAGGCAGGAGAAAAGGCTGCGTGTGTGATGCAAATGGAAAGGATCCAGGTGCCAACAGTCCAACCGCTCAGCTTCCCAGACCTCCAGCCCATGTGTGTACCTCGGTCATAATTACAGTAGTACATTTACACGTTTTGCTTTATACTTCTTTCTCGAAAGTGCTCATAAGCATTTTCCATGTTATTTCTCATATACATTTAGTACTCAAGTAAGATTCCACCAAGTGACTATCACTTTGTAAACTTCAGTGGAACATTTAAATAGTTTCAAGCTTTGTTCATTTGAATAAAATAGCAGCAAAATGCAATTTGCTTTCCCTCCTGTCTTTTCTCTGGGATTTATTTTCCTTGTGATTAATTTTCAGGAAAGAAAGAAACTACCATGTTCAAAGGTATGAATGTTTTTCTACTTCTTCACAGATATTGCCAAGGTGCTGTCCAAAAGGCATGTATGAACTTATATTGCTCACAGTGATTGATGTCTGTGCTGAAGTTTCTTGCAGCTTTGCCAGGATTGAAGTGTTACAGCATATATATTTATATTTTTTTACAGCTTTCAAACTTCTAAATGTATATATAAATGTGTATATATATGTATTTATATTTTCAAATTTAAATGCTTTAAAAATGGAAACTGAGATTTTTGAAACTGTTATAAGCAAAATATTTATAGACAAGTAACACAAAAAATACATATTATATATATGTGTGTGTATGTGTGTATATATATATATATATTTCCTGCCTGAAAATGCCAAGATATTGTCTTGAACATTTCTGGACTGTATATGCATTTCTATTTTTAAATTGTTCTGCACAGGGGCTTCCCTGGTGGCTCCGTGGTAAAGAATCTCCTGCCGATGCAACAGACATGGGTTTGATCCCTAATCCAGGAAGATCTCACATGCGGAGCAACTAAGCCAGAACTACTGAGCCTGTGCTCCGGAGCCTGAGCCACAACCACCGAGCCCCAAGCTGCAGCTCCTGAACCCTAGAGCCCTACTGAGCTCACGCACCCTAGAGCCTGTGCTCCACAACAAAAGAAGCCACTGTGATGAGAAGCCCGTGCACTAGGGAGGAGCCCCCGCTGGATGCAGCTAGAGAAAAGCCCACATAGCAACAAAGACTCGCACAGCCGAAAATAAATGATTTGTAAAAACTGTTCTGCACAGAAGATATGTCCCTTATCCACTTATGAATATATTCAATCATTTATTTATATCAATATGGACTTGTTTTAGACTTCAGGTTATAGTCGATACTACTTTATTGTACTCAAAATTTTCCACTTAGCCATTGGGAACTCGGTCAGTTGAGTCCTGTGCCCCTTTGCCATTTCTCTATCCATGTGTTTGTTTTGTGAGCACTTCCTTTCTCTCTGGCACTACAGGATGCTTCAGTGTCATCTTGTATATTTCCCACCTCAGTCCTGGAATCAGACCATTCTCCAGGGAGCCCTGGTTCCTGTTATGGGAGAATGATTCTAGAAACCAAGATTCAGGTACTTGGTGTTGCTTACTGCTACTAGAGTGTTGTTTGCGGTAAGAGAGCAAAGATAAAAATGTGTTTACTAGTCTATAGATAGACATCCATAACTATTTCCATATGTAACCATCTGTGTCTATATTAAGATAAACATGAATTCTTACTTTGCCTACAACTCTACTCCAGTACCACATGGATCATTCTAGTCTTGCTTATCTTTCCACTCTGATTCTGATGCATTTTAAAGGCCTCATCCCAGGGAGGGCTGATCACCCCTTTTGAAGAATTTCTTTTCTAGAAGCATGTTGTCTGTGAAGGGGGAAAGAAAAGTCACACCTAATTTCTGTCAACAGAGAGGGGGAAATATCGTCAATTGGCAAAAAGTTTTAAATGTCCTTAAAGTTATCCGTTGAATCTGTTGCTGACGGAAACAGAGCAGTCTGTATAAAGTCTCCAAAGCACAAGGTCTACACAGGTGATTCTGGGTCCAAGGCCTGGCTGACTTTGCTCCCAGCGTCTCCCTCTTAGCAGACTCCTAGTGACTCCTGACCAGAACCCACAGGAGGACCCCAAACACAACTGTCCATCTTCCAAAGTCACTGCTTCTCAGCGTCCCCCTCGACGAGGTCGTGTCTCAGACCAGAGGGGCTCCCCCAGCTTGGCTCACTGACATTGGTCACCTCCAACTGCGGCTTACCAGCATGATGTCCCACAGAAAGGCTGTCCGTGTCAGCCCAGCGGTGCTCAGGAAGCACCTTCTGTGCCCTCTTGGCCTGCCTCCTCACCGTCCAGGAGCTGTGACTCTCCCTTTGACACAGACATACGCACCAAGTTTCTCCCTCCCTTCTCAAGCCCTTCATGGGATACGTTTGGCCATATTGGTGTGGGATTCTCCATCCAAGCAGGCAGACTCTTTGTGAAACAAAGTTTATGTTTAATTACACAAGTAGTGATAATCGGAACATTTTCCATGGGTTGGCTGTGTTCAGAGCATTTTGCTTCTATGAGTTTAATCCTCATAACAAGCCATTATTAGCCCTATCTTTTTAGAAAAAAGAAAAGTAAGGCTCATTGAGATTTAGTTTTGTGCCTCTTATACAGCTAATAACTAATAAAACCAGGATCTACACTAACCATGGCCATAGGTACTGCAGCTAAGCAATACATTGATGCAGGCTCATTGTCTAAAAATAAGTAAATAAAAATCCCCAAGCACAGAAATGTTTAGTCTTTCTCTGTCACACCCTTCCAATTCTTCTCCTCCTCTTCCAATTCTTTTCCTCAGAGGTAACATCCTTCTAGAACTTTTTCTTTTGTGTGTGTGTGTGTATGTGTCTATTTGACTTGTGGGATCTTAGTTCCCCAACCAAGGATGGAACCCGTGGCCCCTGCAGAGGAAGCATGGAGTCTTAACCAGTGGACCACCAGGGAATCCCCTAGACCTGTTTCTATGTATGATATAGTCTTAGGATCTGGAAGGGTCTTTAAATAGATGTATTACACTCTATGTGCCAAGGTTTTGACTTGTTAGTTTCATTTGTCAATATGCCTTAGAGGTCATGTCCTGCCAACATATGTAAATCTGCCTCGCCCTTCAAACATTTTAAGGATTCCATGGTGTGAATGTCCCATAAATTATTTATCTGGTCTCTGATTGATAGCCATTTAGGTTGTTTCTAATATTTTGCTTGAAAAACCACAGTGTGTTGAACATTCTTGAATATGCCTTTGTCAGAATGGCAGAGGGCAGATTCTGAGGAGTGGAATTTCCAGCTCAGGGTGAAGTGTTAGTCACTCACTCTTTGTGACCCCATGGACTATAGCCTCCCAGGCTCCTCTGTCCATGGAATTCTCCAGGCAAGAAAGCTGGAGTGGGTTGCCATTCCCTTCTCCAGGGGATCTTTCTGACTTAAGGATTGAACCTGGGTCTCCTACACTGGCAGGCAGATTCTTTACAGTCTGAGCTACCAGGGAAGCCAACTTAAGGTAGTGTAGTGATATCAAGATCAGGGTGAATCCACATTTAATTTGCTGCTACTGCCTAACTTTCTCCAAAACGACTGGGGTGATTTTCACTCCCCTCAATGGTGTTTGAGATCACCTGTCTTTCCACATCCCCACCAACACTGCACAGCAACGATCCTGAACATCGTTTACTAATCTGATGGGTAGAAAGTGAGACCTTCCTGGTTGAGTTGGAATTAACTCTGCTTGAATTCATATTTCTAGTTCCCTCATTGCTCATCTATTTCTAGGCTTTGGATTTCTTCTCTTATCCTGTGCAAGCATTTGCACCCTCCCCAGTAATAATCTAAAATGACTCTTTAAAACTCTTTGCTGATCTCACCTTTGAGCTTAGGTACATTCTGCTAAGAATGCTTATCAGTTCTTCCCAGCCCTTCCTGGAGCCCTTTTGGGGCTCTTTTCTCAAGGATAAACTGTTCTGGAACACGTCAGCAAAGCTTGCCTCTGGAAGGTTGTGGACTTCTGTCACAGTTGTGACTCAGCCCCTGTCCCTGCAGTCTGCGGCCATCCTCGTGGAAAACGCTAATTCCCTACACAAGAACCCGCTGCCCATTCGGCCCTCGGCCAACAGAAGTGCTTGCTCAGCCTTTCTCCCACTGCTCCTTTGCTCCTGCCTGCCTCTTTACTTCAAAATGCTGGTATAAAGAGAAGACACCCACAGATGCCGAACCATTCAAACACTACAAAACTATCCCATGAGAACACATGTATATTTGCTTAACCACTGCACCCTCTTTAGAAATGTTCATGCATAAGCATGCATATATTTATATAATCTTTAATGCAAATGGAAGGAAACTATACATTGTATTCTGTACCTGGCTTTTTAAAAATATTTATTTATTTATTTGACTGCATCATGTCTTAGTTGGGTGCTTGGGCTCTAGAGTGTGCAGGCTTAGTAAGGGTGAGCTGGCTTAGTTGCCCCTCAGCATGTGGAATCTTTGTTCCCCAACCAAGGGTCAAACCCACGTCCCCTGCATTG